TGGAGTTTCAGCTTCAGCATCAGTCCTTCCAATGAACACCCAGGACTGATCTCCTTTAGGACGGACTGGTTGGATCTCCTTGCAGTCCAAGGGACTCTCAAGAGTCTTCTCCAACACCATAGTTCAGAAGCATCCATTTTTCAGCGCTCAGCTTTCTTTGTGGTTCAACTCTCACATCCACATATACTGGAAAAACCATAGCTTGACCATATGGACATTTGTAGGCAAAGTAACATCTCTACTGTTTAATATGCTATCTAGGTTTGTCATATCTTTCCTTCCAAGGAGTAAGTGTCTTTTAATTTTGTGTCTGCAGTCACCATCTTCAGTGATTTTGGAGCTCCAAAAAATAGTCTGTCACTGTTTCCACTATTACCCCATCTATTTGCCATGAAATTCTGGTAACACTGGGCCCTTAATCCGTGACCACTGCCGCTGATCACTGAGCACTTCAAATGTGCTTCAGGCACTGTTGGACGAGATGAGCTGTATGTGTTCATATTTAACCTGAGAACAACTCAGATCTTTTATCATCTGCATTTTACAGATGAGGAAATGGGTCTGAAAGGTTAAGTAGGTTGCAGCCAGGTCAGCAGAACCAGGAGTCAGACCCCACACCCCAATCCCCCACCAACTCCCTGCTTGTAATGTCACGTTATACTTCCTTGCCTTTCTGGGCCATCAGTGGGCCAAGACTTACTTGCAGTTTACTTACCGGTCAGTATCTCCTGAGTGCTGTTTGTCGGCTGTGCTTCGCTTGTAAATTGTCTCCGCCTCTGCCGAACTTGGCTGCTGCTGTTTCTGCTGCTTTCTGGACGAGGAGACTGGGAGGGGTCAAGGGACGGGGCCCAGGGTCACACAGCCAGCTCCTGGGCCGCGGTTGCACAGGGCTGGGCGGGCGTTGGCGCTGTTTGCTGCTGCTGAGCCTCACCGTGTCTCTGCAGCCGCTCCTGAGAGCTCTCCCGGAACCTCAGAGTGGGTGCGGGGGACAGCAGAGAAGGGCTTCTGAGACTGTTAACCTGCGCCTTAAGGGGGGAGTCCAGATCATTCTCCCGTCCTGACACACAGACCGTGGAATTCCCTCGGGCAGGCCCAGGGATCTCGGACATGCTTAGCTGTGACTCTCCTCTTTCTCACAAGAAAGTAAAGCAAAAAGAAGCGAGCAGAGGGATGGATATTTATTGTGGGAAAAAACTCCACGTTTCCTCTAATTTGTACAAGAAAGGCAGTTCTCCTGTTCTTTAAACATTACGGGAACAGGTGGGTAGGAACCGCCTCCTCGCTCAGCTGGTTGCCACATAGCAGGGTCTTAACTGACGGCGCAGGGCTGGGAGACCTCAGCCCTCCCTGGAGGGGAGCAGGGGCATGGCTGTCTCTTCCTGAGACCCTCACAGCAGGAGCAAACCAAGAAATCTGACCGAGGAAGTGGCCCCCGTGTGCCAACTCTGAAGCAGTTAACGCTAAAATAACTGTGAATGTGGGAACAAGTTGCTTTTAGACACATACACGCTTTTTTTTCAGCCTTCAGTGTGTGATTTCTAAATTACAATGTTATGTATTTTGTTTTGGGTTCTCTTAGCTGCTGAAACAAAGATCACAGACCCCACAAGAGCCTCTACTTCCCTCTCAAACGGATTCCAAAAAGCAGCCCCAGCGGGTCCAACAGAACAGAAACTGGATTTCAGATAAAGCAAAGAGAGAGGCGATGGGGATGGAAAACACAGACCCCGAGGCCAAAGGGGCCTCCGGGCCCTCGGGGTTGCTGACGAGCAGGAAGGCAGCGGTGCAGCCCGAGGAGAAAGGGGCCAGGAAGAGGACCGGTGCTGACGTGTCTCCGCAGCAAGGCGGCATCAAGCAGAAGAAGCGGAAAGCTGGGGAGCCTACTGCCCCACTGCCTCCAGCCCCGCCCACCGAGTACGTACCGCGCGACGTGGTGATGGACGCGGCCTCCCCGGCCACCCTGTGCCTAAGCTGGACTCAGCCTCCTCCCCAGTCACGGCGACTGAGGCCTCTCTCCCTAAGGAGGCTGAGGCTGGGGGCCCCTCTGTCACCTTCCTTGGGGCTGTGGGTTTCTTTGTGGGTAATTCAGGTAATTTAGAATTAACCTAGGGTAAGTCTATTCCCCTAGAAGGTAGGCGTAGCGGAGGCTGACGCTGTCCCATAGCTGCTGTATTTCCAGGGCCCGGAACAGGGCTTGGCACCTCATGGGCCCCCAGGAAAGACGTGTGGAATGAATGAACACCAAAGCCAGAAAAACTTGAGTTCAAAACCGATGCCCGTGTCTTGCCAGTTGGGTGGTTTGGGGCAGGTTCCTGAGGCGCCCTGAGCCGCAGCGTGGTCACCTGCGCTGGGTCTGTAATTCTCCCGTGCCGCCCCGGTGCCAGGCACTTACTCAGCAAAGCCTGGGTGTCGCCCACCCAGGAGCCCAGTCAGCAGCTGCCTCTCAGTGGCTGGGGGTGCTGCCCAGGGGGTGGCTGGGCAGTCCGCCTGGCTGCATGTCACCGGGGGTTGAGGACGCAGTGGCTGAAGGTTTCGGGAAGCAGCGTTTGAGGGCCTGCCGTATGTCCCAGTGCCAGGCACCCTCTTAGGAAAGAGCGGTCCCCGCTGGGCCCTCCATCGAGAAGGGGCAGCCGAGGGGAGGGGACGAAAAGCCAGAAAAACTTGAGTTCAAAACCGATACCCGTGTCTTGCCAGTTGGGTGGTTTGGGGCAGGTTCCTGAGGTGCCCTGAGCCGCAGCGTGGTCACCTGCGCTGGGTCTGTAATTCTCCCGTGCCGCCCCGGTGCCAGGCACTTACTCAGCAAAGCCTGGGTGTCGCCCACCCAGGAGCCCAGTCAGCAGCTGCCTCTCAGTGGCTGGGGGTGCTGCCCAGGGGGTGGCTGGGCAGTCCGCCTGGCTGCATGTCACCGGGGGTTGAGGACGCAGTGGCTGAAGGTTTCGGGAAGCAGCGTTTGAGGGCCTGCCGTATGTCCCAGTGCCAGGCACCCTCTTAGGAAAGAGCGGTCCCCGCTGGGCCCTCCATCGAGAAGGGGCAGCCGAGGGGAGGGGACGGACAACGCACTGAAGTTGTTTCCGTGATTCCTGCCGTGTGGTCGGGATCAGTCCCGCGAGGGCAGAGCCTGTTGGGGCAGAGGCCAGAGGGCCTTCCGGTCGGCCAGTGCATCTCGGAGGAGAGGACTCAGCGGCTATGCATCCCAGCCTGGGCGTCCCTGTCTGCGGGCTCGGCATGGGGACGCCGCGGGCACCAAGGGGTGTCGTGAGTCTCCGTTCTCCTGGCAGCGTGTTCATCCGTGGTTCCCAAATGCCTGGTAGCTGTTTGTTTTGTCATTGAGAAGAAAATGTTGGCAGCCGTTACACCTGAGTAGGGTAGAGGTGTATTTCTGTTTCCTGTTCTTTGTGTTTCTCTGTGGTTCCAAAATTCTAGCTGTAGAGTGTATTTTTAATCAGACGTTGAAGGTGATCACTGTGGCCGGCTGCCAGGCACGTGGGCCTGAGCGCCCTCGAGCGGGCCACACCTGCCACTGTGCTCAGCCCGTCCTCCCCTGTCTTTTAGAGACGACATCTGGTTTGACGATGTTGATCCAGCAGACATCGAAGCGGCCATTGGCCCGGAGGCAGCCAGCATAGCGAGGAAGCAGCTGGGTCAGAGCGAGAGCAGTGTCACGCTGGTGAAGGAGCGGGCCTTCGGCGGGTACGCAGGCCCCATGGGGCGTGCTCAGCCTTGGGGGGCCGGCGGGGTCTTCAGGGCAGGCGCCTCGGTGTCTGGCTGAGCCCGGTCCTCGGCATGTTGCTGAGTGGCGGAGCTGGGTCCCAGGTCCCGCGGGGTTAACCTGGAGCCTTGGTTCCCCCCCAGGCTGACTAAAGCCTTAGCCATGGACTGCGAGATGGTGGGCGTGGGCCCCAAGGGGGAGGAGAGCATCGTGGCCCGCGTGTCCCTGGTGAACCAGCACGGGAGGTGCGTGTACGACAAGCACGTGAAGCCAACCCAGCCAGTGACCGACTACAGGACCGCGGTCAGCGGGGTCCAGCCTGCGGACCTGGCGCAGGGTGGGTGGCTGAGCCGGGCACGTCCCCGGGAGCCTGGCGGGCTTTGTGTTGGCCTGGCTGCCTCTCGGTCACCTGACCTGCAGCCGGGCCAGCGTTCCCGAACTGCAGTGTCACTGGGCAGCAGGGATGGAGCGGGCGTCGGAGGAAGAAGGCCGCTGGGAGGTGCAGATGGGCCTGGGGAGGTGGGTCAGGCGGCAGGGGCTCCCGTGAAGGGGGGCGAGCAGCGGGAGGCCTGGCCTGGCCAGGGCGGGTTCTCGCAGTTTCCCTCAGCTTCCCTGCGGCCGCAGCGTTGGGGGGGTGGGCAGTGGTGAGCCGGAGGTGTCCCATCTTGGGACACACCCAGGGGGCTGGTCTGTAGAGTCTGCCCTTGGACGAGCTGTGCTCAGGGGCCCTGAGATCGGGCCTGGAGGGATCCTGAGGACAGGAGCTCGAGGCAGCAGCCCCCCCACCTCCTCTGGGCGTGTGGTCTCTGCCATCCACGCCTCTTGGGTCCTCGAGGACGGCCCACGAGGCCGCCCGGCCGCTCCGAGGCCGCAGGCTCTGCCAGTGCTGCCTGGGCCGGGTGGGCAGCCCCAGGGCACAAGCAGGGTTGGCGCCCCCTTCTGAGAGCCTGACCCACCCAGGACCCCAGGTCTGACGGGGCAGGAGCGCTCGCTCTCAGCACGGCACTGAAACCCCTTCTGTGTGTTGGTCCAGGAGAAGAGTTTGAAGTTGTTCAGAGGGAAGTCGCGGACCTGCTCAAGGGCCGGATTCTGGTCGGACATGCGCTGCACAACGACCTCAAGGTGTTGGCCTGTGCCTACGCCGTGCGCAGTGAGAGCCAGGACGACGCTGCCGCCCCGCCCAGGGACAGCCCCCGCTCCTCGGGGCAGAGCCCCTACCCGGGCAGGGGCACCCTGATCCCTGTTCCCTCGAGACCCCAGGCAGCCCCCGTCTCAGAGGCTGGCCTCTGACAGCCAGCACGGTGGGCGGCAGGCCAGCTCCCAGGGTCCCTTCCTGCCCCCGAGGGTGGGGCTCGGCCTGTGCACAGCAGGTCTCTGCCGCGGGCCCGCAGTGGCCCACTCGTTGGGATGGGAAGCTTGGGGCAGCAAGTGCTCTCAGCTCGGAGGCCCCAGGGCTCAGGCTCCCCCTTCAGCCCCTGCGCCCTCCCCGCCCTGGTAACCTGAGCAGACTTGCCCTTCACCCTCTCCTGGGCCTGTCTCAAGGTCGCGGGGGGACCCGTTTCATCCCTGACACCGTGTGTGTATGTGAGACAAACTCAAATACAGGACAAACGGTCACGGGTTACTTGGTGACTGAGTCTCTACTTTCCCCACCTTTAAGGCTGTGTCTCCGTCCGTGCGTTCTCTCTGCTGAGCATCCCCTGTCCCGCGACAGTCGCCCCCGGGAGCTCAGGCTCGCATCAGTGCCTCGTCCTGTCTGTGTGTGTGAGGTGTGGGATTCTGAGAAAGGGGCACCTTTCTGCAGACAAACACCAAAACGCCTGTCACACCTTCCTCCTCCAGGCACTGTTTCTGGGCCACCCGAAGAGGAAGATCCGGGACACTCAGAAGTACAAGCCTTTCAGGACCCAAGTGAAGGTACCTGAGACCATGTGGCTCTGAAAGCCTGGTTCACCTGGTCATGGGTTCTGGTCCCTGGAGGCTGGCTTCCTGGTTAAAGGTGTTTAGGTTTGGTTTGGTTTGGTTTTCCCTTTTAACCTTTAAAACTAAGAGGAGGGACTTTCCTACTTGTCCAGTGGTTGGGACGTGGCGCTTCCATTGCTGGGGGTCCAGGTTCAGTCCCTGGTCAGGAAACTGAGATCCTGCATGCTGCATGGTTCAGCCAAAAAAAAAAAAAACAGTGAAAAAATAAACGAGAGTCACAAGGAGAATTAGATGTTCAGAAAGGAAAAGTAACCTTAGAGAAAAAAGACTTGGCCAACCCAAAGTTCGTGCTGCTGAGGTCAGTGAGTCCACTCTCCTCTGATCACACCCCCAGCTGTGGGTCGGAAGGCACATGTGTGTTCCAGAGGCAGAGGCCCCCGGCGCCCGGGGCCAATGATGCACAGTCCCTCCTGGGTCCTCGGTGGGCCACCCCCCTGCCCAGACCCCACCCAAATGTGATGACGTGCTCCCCTCTCCCTGGCAGAGCGGACGGCCATCTCTGAAGCTGCTTGCAGAGAGAATCCTGGGGATTCAGGTGCAGCAGGCGGAGCACTGTTCCGTAAGTGCATCCTGGGTGACAGGCCTCCAGATGCCGGGTGGGTGACGGGTGATGGGCCTCCGGGTTGGGGGCCGTGCTGAGCTCGTGGGCAAGGCGCAGTGTCACCCGATGTTGGCACACGCACTTCACACCAGATGCTCCTGGTGCGCTGTAGTTGGAGAGAAAGGCCCGTCTAGATCGCAGGCCCCCAAGGGCTGAGGGTGAGGCTCTGGGCCCGAAGAGCCTGGCCCTCTGGGCGTCAGTCAGGGCCCGCGGCCCTCCCATCTGCCTTCCAAGTTGTGTGGCGTCCGGGGCCCCTCGTGAGCCAGCACGCCTGTCCCTCCCCGTCTGTGGGGTCCTTCCCCCCTGCCCGAGTGGGGGCTGCGTCCCTGGACCCCTGCTTTCATCTGTGGTCATTGTCACCCCACGTCTGGCAGCAGGACTCAGGAGCTGCGGGATGGGGGGTGGGGGGGGCAGGTGGCCGCACCAGTCACCGGCAGGATGGCCGTGGTGACGCCCCACATCCCCCAGGTCCAGGACGCACAGGCGGCAATGAGGCTGTATGTCCTGGTGAAGAGGGACTGGGAGAGCCTCTCCGGGGACAGGCGGCCCCCCGCCCCCGAGGCCGGCAGCCAGGACACCTAGCAGGACCCCGAGGCTGCACCCGTCACCGGCAGGATGGCCGTGGTGACGCCCCACGTCCCCCAGGTCCAGGACGCACAGGCGGCAATGAGGCTGTATGTCCTGGTGAAGAGGGACTGGGAGAGCCTCTGCGGGGACAGGCGGCCCCCCGCCCCCGAGGCCGGCAGCCAGGACACCTAGCAGGACCCCGCCCCGAGCCACCCTTGCGCCTGCGGGAGCTGCGACCACGCCAGACGACGGATGGAGCTCCTAGAGCCGCGGGCGGTTTTCAGAAACAGTGGCGCGTAGCGTGCATGCCGCTGAGCTGAGCGTCTCGTCTGGTTGTGGCGTCCGAGCCTCTCCTGCACAAGGGGCCGGGCGGCTGTCCCTGGGGCTCCCCGGGCCAGGGTGCTAAGCACCCGCTTGTCTGCCGGGTCTTTGTCACCTGTCTGAGGGGGGCCTTTCCCCTCACTGCCGTGGCAACGGAAAGAAAGGGACTCCGCAGACTTGGGCATGGACCACACGGTTGCCCCAGCACAGCCTCGTTAAGGGGTTTTCTCTGCCACCCGGACACTTGGAGGGATCTCCTGAGGCTGGGGTTCCGCTCACCCCACCTGTGCATACCTGCTATATTTAAATGCCAGGTTAGAGCCCGCAGCAGGCAGGGGGGCTCGGGCTGCCCAGTGCGGTTTTCCCGGAGGTGGGTGCCCCCCGACCCAGACGGACATGTGAGCTCAGGCGCCTGCAGCGCTCCGCCCGGCCCGGGGTGCGGGATCGCTGAGGGGAGCATGCAGCGCCCCAGGCTGTGCTGAGCCCCTGCCAGCCGTGGGAAAAGTCTGAAGCCACCACGAAGGTTGTGTGACATAAACGCATGTTTTTACTTGAGCTGCACCTTGTGGAGGCCCGTGCCTGAGAGGACGGCTGGGTCCCACCTCTTCTGACCCCGCTCCCCCAGGAGACGCCTGTGGCACTGGGCGCCCCGTCAGGTACAGGTCGAGGAGGAGAGGAGGCCAGGGTGGTGCCTACCGGCCACCCTCAGAACTGGACTGGGCGGCCGCCTCCAGTCTGCGGAGCACGCTGGCTGCGTAAGAAACGAGCTCCTGCAAGAAGGCGGCGGTCGGCTGCTGTGGACAGTCTCTGGGCGTGCGCCGAGGGCACCGCCCCTGCCCCGTGGGGTGTCCTGCAGCCCCGGCGGGGCCGTGTGCTGAGGCAGGGAGGGCCCACCAGCACTCACCAGGCTGGAGGTGAAGCGTCCGTGGATCTCCGCAACCAGGGGCTGGATGCTGCTGGACGCCAGCTCAGACAGGATCTCCTCTGCGGGCAGAGGGGGTCCTGAGGCCGGCTCGACAGGCCCAGGCCCCCACCCTTCGGGGCTCAGTGAGATCCCTGGGACTCAGGAGCTCCGTGCTTGGCCCAGCGTGTTCCTGCCCTCCCCTCCCCCCCCCCACCAGACGGCCACGAGCCGGGGCCCTCACTGTACGCGGCCAGGTGGGCCAGCAGCAGGCACATGCTCTCCACCACCTCCGGGTCGTCGCGGTGCAGCTGGTACGTCTCCAGGATGAGGTCCAGGCCGCTGCCGCTCTCCCTGGGCATCACCACCTGCAGGGCTGCCAGCTCTGAGGGAAGGTAGGGGTCATTCCCTGATAGGTGGGCCTGAGGGTCCTCCAGCAGATGGAGGACAGCCATGCTGAGTTTTGGGGGTTGTTGAGAGCCCAGAGCGCTGTGGGCAGCAAGCGTCGGCCAGCTGAGGACACCACGGTGGCCTCGGGGACTTCAGCAGTCAGGCCTTGACCACTCTGCACCTCTGGGGTGTTCTTCGGCAGAGGGCACCGGTCTCTCCACCCCTGCCGTCTCCCAGGATGGAGGAGGGAGTGTGCCCCCACGCGAGGAGGCCTGTCAAGGCAGGTTAGACCCAGCTCCTGATGCCATGTGGTCATCAGGTCCCCTGGAGTTCTGAGGGAGGCGGACACCCCAAGGCATCGATAGATCCTCGAAGGCAGCAAAGCCAAGGCTCTCCCCAGGACTCTGACTCGCGTCTGGCTCACTGGGTTCTGACGACCCAGCTCCTGTGTGCTGAGCCTCGAGCCTTTTGCTCTCAGGGCTCCAGGCCCTGTCTCCTCCCAGTTTGACGGGATCCCAGAGGGAGTGGGGGCAGGCCTGCAGCCTAGGTTGTCTCTATCAGAAAGGGAAGACCCTGCCCCACTCCAGAGCTTCTCCAGGAGTGAGGGTCACCCCGTCTAGCCTGTGCACCCCAGGGGCCTGGACCTCACAGGCTGAACCACCCTGATGCGACCTCACAGGCTGAACCACCCTGATGCAGCGGGCAGCCTTGGCCTGACTCCAGGCCCCAAGAGTCTCTAGAGGGCTGTGGCCCCGGGTCGGGCGCAGAGCCTGGCCAGGGGCTGAGTGACAGGTGGGGTTCAGGCTTGTCAGCTCTGCTGATTTCAGAGCCGCACCTGGAGGAGCACCTCTGCTCACACCAAGCGTGTTGGGCAGGAGAGGTGGTCACTACACAGGGTCACACCGGCGAGTGTGACGTGGGTGCAGAGGACGCCTGCATGCTGGGACTGGGTGTTTCCCTGCTTTGCGAGTGTGCATGGGTTTCGGTCTGTGGGCCATCAGCAGGCTTCGCTGGGAAGCCCACCCCCCACCTCTGAGCAGCAGCCCCGTTGAGCCCAGGCTCACCGGACACCTTGGCGAGGCTGGCCAGCCCGCGGTAGGCGTTGTTCAGCAGCAGGACTCGGTCCTGGTACAGCTGCACGCTCTGCAAGAGGAGGTCCGCCACCTCCGCACACTCCTGCTCCTGGATGCAGCCTGGGGAGGGGCCGGCACGCCTGTGTCCAGAGGCCTGGCCAGCCCTCCGGCCCTCGGCCCCCAGCTGCTCACCCAGCAAAGACAGCAGCCACAGAACCGAACAGCCGGCTTCAGCCATCTCTGCATCCTTGGGGAAGGTGGCCAGCACCTCAGCGACAAGAGCCGGGGCTCTCTCCAAGGGGGCCTTGTTCACGATGACAGCTGCAACGGGACGAAGTGAGGAGGGGTCGCCTGTGTCCCGGCGTGGGGAGAAGTACCTGCTGTGTGTGTGGCCCCCGCCCCCGCCTGCCACGGGGACAGCAAGAGCTGCGGGGTTCGAGGCCTGCCGTCCGAGGTGGGGAGATGGGAGGGCTGACTCCAGCCTGCCGAGCAAGTCTGGACAGGCATCGGACCCCAAGGGGAGGCTTGGGGCATCTTGCACCCAGCTGTGCTCAGGGCCTCCAAGGCTGGGAGATCTCTTCTCCTTGGGAAAATGACTGTCCAGGTGCTGGAGGGCTGGGACCTGGAGAGGGAGCCATTCAGCTGGCGGGGGTCCCCATTTCTGAATCAAAAGTCAGAGAGAGGTCGCCTGGTGCTAGAGCCAGTGTGTGAGACCAGGGTGGCCCCTGATGGCCAAGCAGAGGGCCTCCCGGGTGGGCGGGTGGGGGCCCAGGGTCGGGGTCTGCCCCTTCTCCCAGCTCGGGTGGTCAGGGGGCAGCGGGGTGGGGGGGTGGCTCACTCACTGCCCACCAGCAGGGCCCAGAGCAGGCTCAGGCCGTGGATGCAGATGTCCCTGTTCCTGGGGACGCCGTCCAGGTGCTGCAGGATGTCCTCGAACAGCCCGGCCCTCTGCAGCTCGTCTGTGGCCAGTCCTGTGGGTGGGCCGGGGAGTGAGGCCGCGGGGAGCCCCTCCCCAAGAGGCCTTCCCTGAGGGCCCCTCCCTTCTCTCCTGACCTCGGGCACGATGATCTCAACGCATAGCCTGCTCTGGGCCAGCCTCGCGCCCAGCGTGGGACTCGGAAACAAATGGGTACCTGTTGGACCAACCCTGGGCCACCGTTCCAGCAGCTGGCGTCCCATTACTGGGCTTGGACCAGTCTCGGGGCCTCTCTTCCAAGGTGCTTTCGCTCGGGTGGTGAGCAGACGAGCTTCAGCCATCTCTGCATCCTTGGGGAAGGTGGCCAGCACCTCAGCGACAAGAGCCGGGGCTCTCTCCAAGGGGGCCTTGTTCACGATGACAGCTGCAACGGGACGAAGTGAGGAGGGGTCGCCTGTGTCCCGGCGTGGGGAGAAGTACCTGCTGTGTGTGTGGCCCCCGCCCCCGCCTGCCACGGGGACAGCAAGAGCTGCGGGGTTCGAGGCCTGCCGTCCGAGGTGGGGAGATGGGAGGGCTGACTCCAGCCTGCCGAGCAAGTCTGGACAGGCATCGGACCCCAAGGGGAGGCTTGGGGCATCTTGCACCCAGCTGTGCTCAGGGCCTCCAAGGCTGGGAGATCTCTTCTCCTTGGGAAAATGACTGTCCAGGTGCTGGAGGGCTGGGACCTGGAGAGGGAGCCATTCAGCTGGCGGGGGTCCCCATTTCTGAATCAAAAGTCAGAGAGAGGTCGCCTGGTGCTAGAGCCAGTGTGTGAGACCAGGGTGGCCCCTGATGGCCAAGCAGAGGGCCTCCCGGGTGGGCGGGTGGGGGCCCAGGGTCGGGGTCTGCCCCTTCTCCCAGCTCGGGTGGTCAGGGGGCAGCGGGGTGGGGGGGTGGCTCACTCACTGCCCACCAGCAGGGCCCAGAGCAGGCTCAGGCCGTGGATGCAGATGTCCCTGTTCCTGGGGACGCCGTCCAGGTGCTGCAGGATGTCCTCGAACAGCCCGGCCCTCTGCAGCTCGTCTGTGGCCAGTCCTGTGGGTGGGCCGGGGAGTGAGGCCGCGGGGAGCCCCTCCCCAAGAGGCCTTCCCTGAGGGCCCCTCCCTTCTCTCCTGACCTCGGGCACGATGATCTCAACGCATAGCCTGCTCTGGGCCAGCCTCGCGCCCAGCGTGGGACTCGGAAACAAATGGGTACCTGTTGGACCAACCCTGGGCCACCGTTCCAGCAGCTGGCGTCCCATTACTGGGCTTGGACCAGTCTCGGGGCCTCTCTTCCAAGGTGCTTTCGCTCGGGTGGTGAGCAGACGTGGCCAAGTGGTCCTGACTTAGACCTGTCGTCCCAGCGTGAGGACGCCTGGCAGCCCTTTCCACTCTCTGCCGTGGGGTCAGTGGACTGTGGTGGGCTGGTTAGTGCGGGCAGGCTCCAGGTGAGGGCCCTGGGCTCTCTGGGGCCCCAGCTTTCTATTGCAGAGGTGAGTGGTTGGACAGGAGTCAACTCGGGTAAGGCCCTGGGGGGTGACCCTCTCCCGCACGCCACCCCTCGGCCAGGACTCGCAGGTGGCCATTGTGAGGTGAGGCGGAGGGGCCGGAGGGGCAGCAAGGGCAGGAACCTGAAGCCCACGGCGGTGCTGCTGCCTGGTAGGGCCCGTGTCCATGGGCAGAGGGACGCACGTGGGCGTGGGGCAGCCGGAAGCAATGTCTGTGCCCCCGTGGAGGGGCTGGGTGCCCCCCCCCGCCATGTGCCCAGTGCCCGAGAGTGGCACCCACCTTGGCTGGCCACGATGGTGAGCAGGCTGTAGACCACAACCAGGAGCTGCTCCTCCGCGGGGTGGCTCTGCAGGACGCTCAGCAGCACAGGGATGATGGTGCTGGCATTCGCTACTGTGGCCGCCGGGTCCTGGGCCAGCGCTGCGTGGGCCACAGGAGAGCAGGGTTTACCCCGGGCTGGAGGCAGGGCTCCGTGGTTGTGGGGAGGATGCTGAGGGCGGGGTGCAGAGCGGGTCCCCACAAGTGCTTGTGTGACCAAGTCAAGGACCGAGGGGCTGGGGGCCCTGCCAGGGTAGATATTTATCACGGAGTGGACATGCAAAGCATTATGTGGGAATTCAACCTAAATAGTAAAGTTCAGAGTAGTAATGAAATACTTCCAGTTTAAAAGCCAGGTATTTAAAGCTTTCTTTAAAGACTCCAGGAGGAGCCCAGACTGTCGGCACCAGCCTCTCTCACTGCCCCCTCAGCTGACCCCCTGGACACCCACACCTAGGACCCCGCCCAGCCTGCCTGGGGGGGGCGGGGTGGCCACACCACAGAGCCCCTCCACCCCATCCAGCTCCTCCTCTCTTGCCTGGAGACCAGCCAGAGCAGGGAGGAGCCGGCCCAGGGCCCCAGAGCAGGTCACAGGCAGGCCCCGGGTGCTGCCCCAGTCTCCTGGCCACGCTGTGCCATCCTGGGGTGGGGTTGGGTGGCAGCACGCCCAGAGGGTTGGACGCCAAGCGCNGCCCCACCTTGGCCCAGGGTGCGCAGCAGCAGGGCGCAGGCACACAGCTGTATGTCCAGTATCCTCTGGTGCTGCTTCATGGTGGTGAGCAACACCTCCACCAGCTCCGCCGGCCACGGTAGACCTGGGGGTGGGGGGGAACAGGAGCAGGTGAGGGGAGGGGCGTGGGCCAGACCAGGGACCAGAACCCGCTGGGAGTCGGGGGCATCGCGTGTGGGCCCTGGGTGACCGAGCACCACCTGTCAGATATGCTGTAGCTGGCTTCCTATCCCAGCAGCTCTACAAGGCTGACCTTGTAGATGAGAACCCAGGTGGTGTGACTCCAGAGCGCCAGCGCCCTTGGCCGTGGCTGCCCTCAGAGGGGACGTCTGCAGTGCCTTAGGCTGCCGGCTCAGCGCCCGGGGACCTGTGCCGAGCACGGGGGTGGGGGGAGCAGGCTGTGGCAGCAGGGTCCAGGCCCAGCTGTGCCCCTTCCCACTGCCCTCCCCTCTCCTAGCCTGTGTCCTTGTGGTGAGAATGACAAGGTCAGAGGTGCTGGCGCCTGGGAGGCCGAGGGTCCCTTCAGAAGGGACCCAGCCCTGCCCTCCCCTTCCCCGGGAGCAGACTCTCCCTGCCCATGGGCTCTCCTGGCCACCGCCCAGCTCGGTGGGGTCGCGGGGAGGGAGGAGGGAAGGGAAACGACCGAGGAGAGGTCCCCGCGGCCTCAGGACCGGCTGGGGCTTGGCCTCCATGATATCTGCAGCCCGGCCACTGGGACAGCCTGATATAGAAGGATGGACAGTGGGTGGATGGAGGGGGATAATGGACAATGGATGGAGGGGACGGGTGGTGGCTGGCTGGATGGATGATAGACAAATGGACGGTGGATGGAAGGGATGGATGGTGCGTGGATGAGTGCATGAATGTGATATTCAGGCTGGTGAGACAGGTTGAGTGCAGACATCTTCCAAAACCATGTTTTGGCAGAATTAATGGTATTATTAATATTAATAATCGATGGAGATGCACTCTTGAGAGGTGGGTAGGTTGGTACATCTATGCAGGCAGTGAGCAGCGTCTGTGAAAACATGAAGTACTCAGGCCTGCACATCTGGGGTCTTACTGTGCAGAAACGGACAGAGCGCACAAACGCCCTGAGGTGGTCTGTGTGACCTCGGTTATGATACCGGGAAATCAGCAGCCACTCAGATGCCTGACCAGAGGGACGGTGGAGAGGCAGGGTGTCTGTGTAGCGTCCATGAAAAGCAGGCGGAAAGAGGCCACAGGAGATGGTTCTGACCCCGAGCCACCCACCACCCTCGGCTCAGTAAGGGAAGTCCAGGCTCCTGCTCCCAGCATGTGGTGAAGCCTCGGATGCTGATGGGCCAGATGGCAGGGGCGTCCAGCGAGGCGCGCTGGAGGGGGCGGGGCTCCGCAGGGGCGGGGTGGAGCTGGGACGGGATGGGGGCGTGGGAGCTCTACCCAGCTGGTCTTCAGTCATCCTCAGGAGCCTCTTCAGGGCCCTGTGCTGGACTTCCGGGCGGCTGGAGAAGTTCTGCATGACCTCTGCAGGGGACAGGGCAGCGCGGGGAGGCCTCGGCTCAAGGCCCATCTGTGAGCCCCCCACCACACAGACACACGTGACCAGGCGTGGGGCCACGCCCTTATCCCCACCTCCTGGGCGGAGCCACCGAGCCAAAGTCCAGGGTCAGCCTCAGCGCCCACCCAGGAGGTTCAACTCGGGCGACTCCCTCCAGGCCACTCAGTCAGCGGGTGATGGGCTTCAACTGGACCCAGCTGTCCGCCTCCAAAGCCCATAACCACGAGACGGGGAGCCTGGGCAGCTAGGACCCAGGGGGTGCCCCTTCCCCAGAAAGGGAGGCACAGGTGGTCCACTGGGGGTAGGTGGGTGGGAGGGAGTCCCTTATCGTAGCCCAGGCGGGGGGCCACTGAAGGGGAGGAGGGAGTGAATGGCCCACCCATACCAGAGGCAGGGGGTGGGAGGGCAGAGCCAGGCCTGAACTGAAGGTGACCTGCAGACCCACCGTCCACCCGAGAGCAGAGGCGCGGCCCCGGCCAGAGCAGGCGGAGGGGTCTATTGAGCAGGGCCACGCTCGGGAGGGACGAGGGGCAAGCCCACCGGCCGCATGGGAGGAGCAGTCCCGGGGAACCCCAGCTTTATAAAGAGGCCACGGGGCCCCCCCGCGCCGGCCTCTGGGGCCCCCGTCGTCACCGAAGGTGCTGGCCACGTTGCTGTCGAGCAGCAAGTCGATGATGAACTCGGGCACCGCCTGCCGTTGTAGCACCAGGGCGATGCTGGAGGATCGGAAGTTGCTGCGCACGAAGGTGAAGTGAATCACGTCCCTGGGGAGGAGCAGAGAACCGCCGCCTGCGCCCGCACCCCGCTCGCTGGCAGCTGCGGGACCCCCACCTTCTGTGGGCGCTCACTTTGCAAGCACCTCTCACAGCGGGTGCCCCAGCTCGTCCTGTCCAGGAAGGACCCTGCACTTGCACCCGCGTGGACACCTCCGTCTATAATGTAGACCAAAAAAAACCCCCACAGTTCCAGGTTATGTTGAAATAAAGGTGAACATTCAGAACGCAGGATGGATCATTTTGTCCTTCTGACTTTAAAATACCTTAGAATTCAAACATGCTCCTGGGCCTGGGGCCATGCCCCTGTCGGTCCAGGACTCAAGAGACGTGGCCAGGGGCGGGGTGGAGCTGGGACGGGATGGGGGCGTGGGAGCTCTACCCAGCTGGTCTTCAGTCATCCTCAGGAGCCTCTTCAGGGCCCTGTGCTGGACTTCCGGGCGGCTGGAGAAGTTCTGCATGACCTCTGCAGGGGACAGGGCAGCGCGGGGAGGCCTCGGCTCAAGGCCCATCTGTGAGCCCCCCACCACACAGACACACGTGACCAGGCGTGGGGCCACGCCCTTATCCCCACCTCCTGGGCGGAGCCACCGAGCCAAAGTCCAGGGTCAGCCTCAGCGCCCACCCAGGAGGTTCAACTCGGGCGACTCCCTCCAGGCCACTCAGTCAGCGGGTGATGGGCTTCAACTGGACCCAGCTGTCCGCCTCCAAAGCCCATAACCACGAGACGGGGAGCCTGGGCAGCTAGGACCCAGGGGGTGCCCCTTCCCCAGAAAGGGAGGCACAGGTGGTCCACTGGGGGTAGGTGGGTGGGAGGGAGTCCCTTATCGTAGCCCAGGCGGGGGGCCACTGAAGGGGAGGAGGGAGTGAATGGCCCACCCACACCAGGGGCAGGGGGTGGGAGGGCAGAGCCAGGCCTGAACTGAAGGTGACCTGCAGACCCACCGTCCACCCGAGAGCAGAGGCGCGGCCCCGGCCAGAGCAGGCGGAGGGGTCTATTGAGCAGGGCCACGCTCGGGAGGGACGAGGGGCAAGCCCACCGGCCGCATGGGAGGAGCAGTCCCGGGGAACCCCAGCTTTATAAAGAGGCCACGGGGCCCCCCCGCGCCGGCCTCTGGGGCCCCCGTCGTCACCGAAGGTGCTGGCCACGTTGCTGTCGAGCAGCAAGTCGATGATGAACTCGGGCACCGCCTGCCGTTGTAGCACCAGGGCGATGCTGGAGGATCGGAAGTTGCTGCGCACGAAGGTGAAGTGAATCACGTCCCTGGGGAGGAGCAGAGAACCGCCGCCTGCGCCCGCACCCCGCTCGCTGGCAGCTGCGGGACCCCCACCTTCTGTGGGCGCTCACTTTGCAAGCACCTCTCACAGCGGGTGCCCCAGCTCGTCCTGTCCAGGAAGGACCCTGCACTTGCACCCGCGTGGACACCTCCGTCTATAATGTAGACCAAAAAAAACCCCCACAGTTCCAGGTTATGTTGAAATAAAGGTGAACATTCAGAACGCAGGATGGATCATTTTGTCCTTCTGACTTTAAAATACCTTAGAATTCAAACATGCTCCTGGGCCTGGGGCCATGCCCCTGTCGGTCCAGGACTCAAGAGACGTGGCCACAGTTTGGGACAGCCCAGCTTGGAGGAGCCACTGTCCGCGGATGAAGCGCTTTGTAGCATTGAAACCCCAAGTGGCCGCTGAGAGACTAAGAGGGGAAGATGGTGACAGCCAGAGCGAGATGGGACCCCGGAGCCTGAGCTCACCTGATGGTGACTCGCTCCGCTGGGTCGGCCTGAAGCATCAGAGGCAAGAGGGACTGGAAGGTTTCCGCGTCGGGGACCTTCCTCTTCTCCATGGTCCTCAGGACAACTCTCAGGCTGTCGGGGGAGCTCCGGATGTTCTTCCGCAGGTGCATGGCCTCCAGCGTCTAGGAGGAGAGAGGGCTGCTGTGTACTCTCCCAGCGGGAAGGAGGAGGCCTGACCCCAGGCAGAGGGAGCTGAGATGGCCACCGCTGTCAGGAAGGCATGGAGGCCACCTGTGCCCCGGAGTTCTGGTCCAAAGAAGAAATGCAGGTTTGGAGAAAAGCCCGTGGCCATCTCACTGGCCAGAGGGAGTCAGGGACAACCCCCCACCACGGCCGGGACCCCACGGCGGGCCGGTCAGCGCACTTGAGCTCGGTGGATCTTGTCCCCGAGGGGCTGCCGTGGGGGGCGGGTTGGCATGTTACCAGCATCGCCCCCACACAAGGGCCCAGCGGGGCGGAGTGCAGGGGGCTTCACATGGGGCACACCCATGGCAGGAGGATGCCATGGGGGGTGTGTGCCCCTCTCAGGGCCAAAGTGCGCTCCTGGGGGCTGAGGGGCGGGGGCAGGTGGGAGGCCCTCACGTCCAGGAAGGAGCAGCTGGCCATGTCCAAGATGATGCAGCCCAGGGACCAGATGTCGGATTTCTGGCTGAAGGAGAAGCTGAGGGCTTCAGGGGCCATCCAGGACTTCTGGAAGGGGTCTGTTGGCAGGAATGAGGCGGGGCATGTATGAGTCCTGGGCTCCCCGGGGAAGCAAGCAACTTGAAAATGGGCCCTTGGTCACTCTCCTCGGAGGAGGGAGAGACATGCTGTCTGAGGCCCCGGGTTAGTAAGATCCTGGCCTGCGAGGCTGGGGCCCACCAGGCCAGCTGTGTGCACCCCTGAGTCTCACAGTGGCTGCGGGAACAGGCAGACGGGGCATTTCCAGGAAGGCTGAGACCCACGTGCCCGTTCAGCATCTTGCCTCTACGTGTCCGGACCTCGAGGCAAAGCTCTAGGTGCCCTGCCCCAGTTTCTCAACTTGCAGCCCAAACGGGGAGCCAGAAGAGCAGGATCCCTGTCCAGCTCTCAGAGCCGGACCCGCCTCAGGCACCCCTCCCTTTCTGGACCCCCCACTGCCCAGACAGGGGTGGCTCCAAGAACCCCTGCCATCTATGCCACCAGCAGACCCGCCCATTCACACACCTGCCCACCATTCATCCACCTGGATTGTTCACCCACTCATCTGTCAACCCATCCATCCATCCATCCATCTGTCCACCTGTCTGCATGTCCATCTACCCACCCACTCCCCGACCCACTCATCTGTCAACCCGTCCGTCCATCCACCTGTCCATCTGTCTGCATGTCATGTCCATCTACCACCCATTTGTTCAGCCTTCCAGAAGGGCAGCATGCCACCAGTGCCTGCCCGCCCAGGGCTCTGCCGTGTCCCGGGGAGAGCCGCCCTCTCCTCTCACCGCCCTGGTGGCTGTTAGGCTTGGAGCCCAGGTCCCTTTGCCCTGTGGTCTTTTCAGAGGATGGAAACGTCTCTCTGACTCCTCACCTCTACCATCTCCTGGGTTATTCTGAGGCTCAGTAAAGAAATCCAGCCCGAGGGGCTTCCCTGGTGGTGCAGTGGATGAGAACTAGCCTGCCAGTGCTGGGGATACCGGTTCAGTTTCTGGTCTGGGAAGACCCCACAGGCTGTGGAGCGACCGAGCCCGGGCACCACCACTGCAGAGCCCGAGTTCTGGAGCCTGCGAGTCGCAGCTCACGCAGCCTGCACGCTCCAGGGCCCGCAGGCCAAGCTACTGAAGCCCGTGTGCCTAGAGCCTGCGCCCTGCAACCAGAAGCCCCCGCAGTGCGAGGCCAGCACGCCGCGACTGGAGAGCAGCCCCCGCTGCCCGGAACTGGAGAAAGCCGGTGCAGCGGAGAAGACCCGCACAGCCGCATAGAAATCAGGAAACGCAGCCAAGCTAGTGCCCAGCGCCCACCAGCCCTCCCCCCGCGCCTCCCTCCGCTTCCTTCCTGTGGAGACCTCCCTGCCCCCTCCATGAAGGTGAGCATTTTCTGAGTATCTTCGGGACCCTGCATGTGCCCCCCCCCCCTTGGTTGTACCCCGCTCGGTTACAGCCAGGCAAGGGGGTCTCTGTGGAGTCCACAGAAGCCTGGGGTGGGGGGCGGTCTCTGGGGCCCTTCTGAGCAAAGAGAGGTTGCTGTTGCCTTGTTTCAGCTTCTAGAGTGGCCCCTGCCCTTGGACCCCCCCCTTGAGGGAACGGCCCTGCTGCTCCCAGCCACCTTCCTCCGCCCGGACGTTCCACTTGGCCTTGTCGGTCATGAGCGTGTTGGAGCTCAGATCCTGCAGTTTGCAGTGGTCGTTGCTGACGAGGGCAATGTTGGAGGGCTTGAGGTTCCTGCAACCGAGAGGCGTGCTCTTCCACCCGCTGCCCGGCAGGGCCACTTCTGCGGACCCTCCATTCCGGTCACACCTAGGGCCCCCATCCCTTCTCCCCCCGCCTCAGTAAATGCCCTATTGGGACCACTTTAAAAATACCGCTTCCTGTAAGCTAAGTACACTGTCACTTCAAACAGGGAAAACGAAGCAACTACAAGCAGGGAACCTGGCGATCGGCCCGCGGTCCCTCCACCGACAGCCTTCCAGCTCGTTTGGGGCCTGGCGTCCCATCAGTGACCTTAGCAGGATCGCGAGCGTTCCCTTCCTACGTCAGTTCACACGGTTTTCTCTCCTTCCGACGGTGGCTCTACGGCATGCAGCTGCACTGCTTCTGCAACGCCCAGGGTCAGCAGCTCGGCCTGGGCATGCCCAGAGGCCACGGATGCTGCTGTCTGCTTCTTTCCTTGCACTTTAGAACCTCCCACCCGGGGTGTGCCTGGGGAGGGTCGTGGAGGGGGTGGCACTCCCTCTGAGTCTGGGAGGTGCTCCTGGAGGAGCAGGGCCCACCCTCGTCCAGCTGCCCCTCCTTCCCGTGGGCCTGCCCCCCGCCCCCCCCCTCCGCCGCAGACGCTGCCCTGGGAGGCGCCACCCCCAGGAGGGGCCTGGCCACCCGCTAACCTGTGGATGATGTCCAAGTGGTGCAGGTAATCCAGCGCGTCCAGCACCTGGCCCAGCATGTTCTGCAGCCACTGGGGAGGAAGAGACGCCAGGATGGGGGGCCAGAAGGCGCCTGCCCTTCACAGGCAGCTTGGGGCCGCTCAGTGTAGCCCATGGGGTCAGGCCCATTCCCCCCCCCCGTGGGTCCAGATGGGCCTGAAGCCAGTGGCCGGCAGCTCAGAGCCAGTGCGGGAACTTCTGCTGCAGGCTGCGTGGGGGCCCTCAGGACAGCAAGACCTTGTCAGTTGCAAGGCCCTGGGTTCCAGCTCTACCTGCACCCCACCCCTCGAGAGTACCAGAGATGCTGAGTGTTCAGCTCTCACTTGGGACTTCCCTGCCCAAGTCATTAGCATGAAAAGAGCCCTGAGAACATTCTGGAAGCAGTTTGTGTCAGCAACAAGATCCATGTAGTTTCCAGGGCAGTGAGTTTCACACCGTGTTCCTTGAGAGACCCCACCCAGGGTGCCGGAGAGGGGCTGAGGGGGCAGGACCTTGGGCTTCCTCCTCCCACTGACCCCAGGCCCCTGAGTAGAGTGCCTCTGCTTTCCTTACTGGGGTTCTGAGAACATCCTGTGCTTGACAGGGTTCTCCTACAAACAGAAAGTTTGAAACCCACTCTGAGCCTGTCTCCAGGCCCACCTTGGGAGAGGAGCCGGCTGCCCCTCAGAACACCGCACCACCACCCACCCACCGCCAGCGGGGAGATGGTTCCCAGAGGCCCGCAGAACAGAGGTGTGTTCAGAGCAAAAGTCACGTGGTGTGGGTCACAGGCCTAAATGTGAAAGCGAGATAGATCCAGTCTGAGGACGACAGAGCAAAATATTGTCCTAATCCTGGGCCAAGAACAGCTTCCCCGAAGGCTCAGAAGGCACCAACCAGAGGAAACACTGATGAGCCGCAGCTCGTGACAACTGAGAAAGTGAGCCGGCAGCCGCAGACTAGGAGACGTTTGGACACCGTGTCCAGAACACAGACACAGCTCGTGTGAATCAACAAGACGGACGACCTCGCGTTTAAACGGGGAGGGGCCTGAACAGACACCACAGAAGATACCAACGGCCAAAAAGTGCTCACCGTGACCATGCTCGAAATCAGTGAACTGAAATGTGATGTTTAATTAAAACTAACAAGTCTGGGATGTCCCTGGCGGTCCTGTGGTTAGGACCCTGTGCGCCCAGCACTGGGGGTGTGGGTTTGATCCCTGGTCAGGAATGAGCTCCCATACGCCACAGCTAAAGATCCCGAGTGCCGCAGTGAAGACTGAAGACCCCGCGTGCTGCCATGAAGACCCGGCGCAGCCATGTGAAGAAACACTAACAGGAGGAGGACTGACATGCTGCAGCGCCGGCCGGACGCACAGCCCGAGGGCCACCGCTTGAGGGTCAGCACCAAGTTGACTAACCATCCCGGAAGCCCGGGGGGACGCTGGCCACAGCAGTGCATGCAGCCACGCTGTGACCCGGCAGCTCCACGGCGAGGGACTCCCCCAGGAAACGGATGTTTCGGTCCATCAGACACATGCCCCGCAGTGTTCGTGGTGGCCCTTGGTCACAACAGCCCCAAACTGGAAGCAATCCAAATGCTCACTGCCCTGGACCAGGTGCGTGACGGAGGTGCAGCCATCCAATGGAGCGGCACCTGGCTGTGGACAGGCACGCTCTCCTGACACACCCAGTTCAGTTCAGCCGCAAAGTCGTGTCCGACTCTCTGCGACCCCATGGACTGCAGCACACCAGGCCTCCCTGTCCATCACCAGCTCCTGGAGCTTGCTCAAAGTCATGTCCATCCAGTCGGTGATGCCATCCAACCATCTCATCCTCTGTCGTCCCCTTCTCCTCCTGCCTTCAATCTTTCCCAGCATCAGGTCAGTTCTTTGCATCAGGTGGCCAAAGTATTGGAGCTTCAGCTTCAGCATCAGTCCTTCCAATAAATATTCAGCACTGATTTTATTGGAGCGTCAGCTTCAGCATCAGTCCTTCCAATAAACAATCAGGACTGATTTCGTTAAGGATTGACTGGTTTGATCTCCAAGGGACTCTCAAGTCTTCTCCAGCACCACAGTTCAAAAGCATCACCTGGTGTGAGTCAGGCGTGAGCCCCCTGACACACTCACAGGTGAGCAGATCTCAAAGTACCGGGATGAACAGGCGAAACCAGACACAGGCAAACGTCACGCTGTCTGAGCCCGTCTGCCGGAGCTTCAGGGACACGCAGGGGATCTCCGGAGGCGGCAGTCGAGCCTGGGCACTGGCTGGGGGTGTCTGGAGGGCCAGGAGCACTCTGACCTCACGGGAGGCGGGGACAGAGTGTCCGCCCATGCAAAATGCAGCCCGCTCTACAGAAAGATCTATGCACGTTACGGTAGGCAAATACCTTCATTCCTAAGCGTCAGAAGAACTGAGCCCGGGCCCCAGTGGTGCCCCGGTGCCCCTCTGCTCCCCGCTGTGGGGCCTCCCACGGTCCAGATGGGCCTCAGGCCTGGCATCCCTGACAGTCTGTCTTACCTCAGAGTCCATGGCTGTCTTTGCCGCCCTGTTCTTCTCAATGACATTCTGGAAGCTTTCCTTGTGGTACTCCATCACCAGGCAGAGGAACAGAGAGGAGATCTGCTGGGGACACAGCCCCTTAGCCAGGTCCCACCTGGACCCCTTAGCCAGGTGCCGAGTTCGGGCCCCTGGCAGCCCAGGCCTGGGACCTCCTGGGCCATCACCGCTCCAGGACCTTCCTCCCCCGGGCCACCACCGGCGCTGGCTACGGCAGCACTGCCCCCATCCCCCAGGGTGGACATGGCCCATCACGAGTGGCTCCCCGCTCCTGCCCTACCCCTGTCTACACGAAGCCCCTTGGGCTTTTCTTAAAGGTGCGTGCGTCCGCCGCGGCACATGCAGGCCACAGCGCCTGGGGCCCTGGCACCTTCGTCCCTTAGGGTTCAGCTGAGACCCACTCCTCCCTGAGGGGCCTTGCCTGACGGGGCCCAGCAGCCCCCAGCTCAACCCCGTCTGGGGTGACTGGCAGGCAGGCCTCGGGGTCCCTGGAAAGACGAGGAGTCAGACGGCCACTGGGACTCAGCGCAGGGCTTAGGGGCTGCCAGGCCCAGACCTGAGAGACACTGGGTTGTTGCCAGCTGGTTTCTCCCAGCCTTCTCCTGGAAAGTGGGATAATGAGCCCCACGCAAAGGCTGTAGGGTCCCAGGTGAGATGCCACCCAGAAGCCCCTGCATGGCCCGGAGGGTGCAGAGCCAGGGGGAGCCTCGCAGAGGTCCTGCCATTGGTGCTCACGGGGTTACAATCAGCTGGGTGGGGGGCCCTCTGTGCCCACTGAGTCCGCGGGCAGGCTCTGACCCACCTCACTGTTCCACGTGATGAAGAGCTCCTGGTAGATGGAGATATGGGCGTGCTGAAGCTTCAGCAGCGGCATCAGCTGTGGACAAGGGCAGAGGAGGTGGTGGTGTGGGGAAGACCGCATCTCAGCCATGCTCCTCTGTCCAGGGCAGGGGCGGGGGTCCCGGGAGGGCGGGCGGCCTGGAGGTTAGGAGCCAGATGGCCCAGGGTGAGTCCTGTTTCCGGATGTGCTGGCTGTGCTGTATAACGGAGGGCAGGCTCCTCCACCTCTCAGCCGCCCAGCCCCATCTGGAAAGAGCAGTAGCCATGGTGTCTGCCTCGTGGGGTGTCGGGAGGACCAGGTGGGCCGATGCAGGCAGAATGCCTGGCGCGTCGGAAACAAGCAGAGTCCGGGATGTCTGGAGAAGGGGGTGTGGCCAAAGGGAGGAGGGCACTGCTGTGCCTGGGCCCCCTGGCCCCCTGGCCTCCTGGCTGTGGGCACTAGAGGTCCCAGGCCCCTGCCCTCAGCTCCAAGTGCTTTGAAAACAAACAGTTAGGCAGCAGAAGTGGCTCCCTTAGCAACTTGGAGCCTGATGGACAGCTGCTCATGATGGTGGGTTGGGTGTGAAAGGCAGTGGCCTAGCAGGATGTGGGAGAGAGTTGGGGGGAGTATGATGCTTGGGGGGTACAGGATGGCCCCCCACTTCTTTCTTCCATGAATGTGGCCTGGGTCCATCAGCGTGCCTCAGACACTCTGTGGACAGAATAGCTGCTGGTAAAGCTAAAAAGCTCATGATTCCAGAAAGAAAAGCTACGGGTGGCCATTACATGGGAGGGGAGACATTTAGTTTCATGTAAAATTCAAGAGGGGCAGAGAAAACAGCTCAGAGCCTTTGCCCAGCAAACTGCAGTACACGCAGCTGTCTCTGCTCTTATCAATCAGGATGTCACCGTCAGTGCCCACTGGCAGACCTAAGGAATGTAAGAGTTTATGTTTTCTTTGTTAAACAATTCTCTATTTTCCAAACTTTCTGTTGTAACTGATACTTTCACAATTGAAGAAAAAGACCGATGGTTATTGGTAGAAGAGCCTAGGGACCTAGCCAACATTTAAAGGTAGTCTTCTTTGAGAACGTATATTCTAAGTTGTCGGTACCTGGATTTAGAAATAAATGTTTGGAGCACAGACTCCCTTCATGACCTGGGGCACCTGGCTCCACGGCACCAGCCAAGAGCTGGTCCTGACTCTCCAAGCCCCCAGCAACTCCCACCCTTCACTCCACAGGCAGGTACAGAAGAGGCTCTGTGTGTCCTGTATCACGTCCTCTGGAGAGGTGGTCCCCAGAGAGTTACCTCCTCCAGGGCCTCGTCGGCCTGATGCTCATCAATGCACTCCACCTAGAGGCGCAGAGGAGAGCTCGGTCAGTCAAGACGCAGCGAACACCCCCATCAGGATCACTAGCAGCGCCATCACCACCACCACCACCAAGACCCCAGTCACTGCCATCATCACCACCACCACTATAACCACCACTATCACCACCAGCAAGACCCCAGTCACTACTGTCATCACCACCACCACTATAACCACCACCATCACCACCATCAAGACCCCAGTCACTACCGTCATCACCACTATAATCACTGCCATCACCACCGCCATCACCACCATCAAGACCCCAGTCACTGCCGTCATCATCACCACCACTATAACCACCACCATCACCACCATCAAGACCCCAGTCACTACTGTCATCATCACCACCACTATAACCACCAGCATCACCACCACCAAGATCCCAGTCACTACCATCATCACCACCACCACTATAACCACCACCATAACCACCATCAAGACCCCAGTCACTACCGTCATCATCACCACCACTATAACCACCACCATCACCACCATCAAGATCCCAGTCACTACTGTCATCATCACCACCACTATAATCACCACCATTACCAACGCCATCACCACCACTATAATCACCACCACCATCAAAATCACCATTACCACAATTCACTACCATCATCACCACCATTATTACCACCACCACCACCATTATTCACCAGGGGTGCCAAGCTCCTATCATTCGGGACCCACCACACAGCACCAGATGGGCCTGGAGAGGTTCTAAGGGATGGATCCAGAAATACTTTAAGCAGTGAGATCATCTTCGCTCCTACTGCAAGGGTAAGTTTAGGACAGCCTGACACAAACCCCAGAGAATCACTGACCATTTTCACACCATGTCGAAAGCCGGGAAGGAAAAAATGTGTCGCGCCCAGAGCCAGGGAGCCTGGTACACGCCAGCCTTATGGCTCGCTGCTCACTCAGTTCGGGAGGACTGTGCCCGGCGCCGAACGTGGGCGCTGGGGGACGTGTGCAGAGGGAGCGAGGGTGGTGGGCAGAGCAGCCTGAACTTTGACTCTGCGCCGTACTTGATAGCAAAGACTGGGTGCACACTATCACCGCATCTTACCAGACCCTCACCCAGAACTTCTGCTCCTAAGATTTACCGATGAAGAACTCTTGTAATCAGCTGATTACAGATGAACATGCAGTTGATGGGTGATTGCCAGACCCACGTAAAGACCCCTGAAACAGGTGCACCGTGCATTCCTTTCCTCTCTTCAGGGCTCATGCTTAAGTCATTTTGGCCAAAAACATACTGAGAGCTTTAAAATTATCACCTCTTTTTGAACTGGAAATCCCACCTCTAGGAATTTATCCCAAGCAGATCATGGATCCTCAAAAAAATTAACCGTAAGATTGTTCATCAGAGTTCCTTATTGTTGTTTAGTCACTAAGTTGTCTCTGACTCTCTGTGACCCTATGGACCCCATGGAGCCCGCCAGGCTCCTCTGTCCATGGGATTTCCCAGGAAAGAATACTGGAGTGGGTAGCCATTTCCTCCTCCAGGGGATCTTCCCAACCCAGGGATCGAACTTGAGTCTCCTGTAAAGGCGGATTCTTTACCACTGAGTCACCAGGGAAGCCCTATCAGAGTTGCTTATACAGAGGGAAAAATCAAGAAAATTTTTGCGCTTGTTGTCCCGAGTGGATAGGTGGGGCGTCAGTCCTCGAGGCCAGCCCACAAAGGAGCAGGAGGCTGGTATGGACTCCCAGCCTGGCTGCCTCAGGGGAACTGCTGCAGAGACAGGAGGCCTGGCAGAGCGGGGGGCGCCAGCAGCAGCCAGCAGCGAAGCTCTGGCCTAGACCCGCTGCTCTTCTGGACCACCTGGGCTTGGACATGCCAAGGTGCACACTACACATCCCCTGCAGGTGCGCACTCCACCCCGCCGTGCCAGCCCTGCTGAGGAGGTGGAGGAAGGGCCCAGGGTTGGTGTCCTGCCCTTAAACTTGTGTGACCTTGGGCAAGTCCCTGCCCCCACCCCCCAGCCAGCCTCCTTCAGTTCAGTTCAGTTCAGTCCTCAGTCGTGTCCGACTCTTTGCGACCCCATGGACTGCAGCACGCCAGGCCTCCCTGTCCATCTCCAACTCCCGGAGCTTGCTCAAGCTCATGTCCATTGAGTCAGCGATACCATCCAGCCTCCTTATCCTTGGCTATAAAGAGGGGTCATCGGTCCCTCTTTGCTGAGTTGGTGGGCAGTTAAATAAGATAACAATTATGCCTGGCACCATGTCCACGTAAATGGGGAGTATGGTTGTGGTTGCTGGTGGAATAATCATGAGCATTCCTTCCCCATCAAGGTGGAAGAGCTGAGTCTCCAGGGAACCCCAAGGAGCCTCATACCACCCCCACATCTCCCCCCGCAGCCCCTCGCAACCCCTGGATCTGCCTCCCCGACTGCTGGCAGACAGGAACCCGACTGTCACATGAGAAAGCCTTCCTCTAAGTGGGAGGAGATCCGTGTATGTTTGGGGCACTAGCCCCACTGGAGTGCCTCAGGCATGGCCTCTTACCTGCTTTATCACGCGTTTTGCTTTGGTTTTTGTCTCCTCTACCACCAGGTTCACCCCCAAAGCCCCAGGACTCAGCCAGTCCAAGATCTACCAGCAAAAGAGAAGCTTTCAGGAAAACGTACACATCTTTGCACTTCCCAAAGTGTGCCCACCTCCAGTGTCTTTTCCGGTCCTCCTAACTTTCTTCGTGGGCTAGCAAAGAAGGAAGTGACCCAGAAGGCTGAGGAGGCCTGCAAAGGCAGAACCTGAGCCCATCTCTCAGGGGCTGACTCTGGAGCTCTGTCCACTCCCCAGGCCCCTTCTCCAATCTGTGGTTAGGACCAGCCAGGCGTCCAAGAGCCAGCACCTCCCTGGGGCAGAGGGTTTCTTCACTCACTAGCCCCTTAGGATCCCAACTTTCAGCAGCCACCTCCAAACTGGGCCACCAAATAAGAAAATAACTGGTCCACAACTGGTGCAATCATAAGCCATGACCCCATGGGAACCTGGCACGTGCCAAGCGCTTTACAGCCACCCACACAGTTGGCACTGTTGCCATCTCCTCGTTTCCACTGGAGGAAACTGAGACACGGGGAGCTGGGTCCTTGCCCAAGGCTACAGCACTAATACCTCAGAGGGCCTGGCTTGGGCTGGAAGTCGGGGGTCTGACTCCAGAGATGGTGCGTGAACACATGAGGCTGCGTGACACGAGTACATTCATCAGAGGATGAAGGAAAGGGTGCTGCAGGATGCAGAGGAGTTTGTCCAGGCGGCGGGGCCCTCAGTCTAGGTACCCTCAGAGTCCAGAGGAGTTTCAGGGTTCTGTAACCCAGCACCTGTGGCCTGAAGCCTGCTCGGCGGTGACAGGGGCAGAGACCTGACTAGATCATGCCCGTGTAAGAAGGCTCACACTCAGGCATGCTCAGGGGGCAAATGAAACAGTAAAGTGCACTGGTGTCTCAGATCAAGGCTTTTTTTTTTCCCTCTTAAAAAATAACCTTGTTTTTAAAATTCTCTGGTCACCCAGAAGTGCATCCGCTTTACCACCAGCTCACTCCCCACCACACTCCCTCCCCGTCCCTCCCACACAAGGGGGATTCTCACAAAGTAAGGAAAACCTAACGTAATGAGTCACTGTCAGATTAACGAATCTTTTTTACAAAGATTGACTCTAACATTTAATAAAGTTGACATCTAATACATTTGGTAAACATTCAAATGGCTGTCTGAGGAAGCCTTACAAATAGCTGTGAAAAGAAGAGAAGCAAAAGGGAAAGGAGAAAAGGGAAAGATATAGCCATTGGAATGCAGAGTTCCAAACACTAGCAAGGAGAAGGAAGAAAGCCTTCCCAACTGATCAATGCAAGGAAACAGAGGAATACAATAGAATGGGAAAGACTGGAGATCTCTTCAAGAAAATGAGAGATACCGAGGAAACACTTCATGCAAAGGTGGGCACAATATAGGACAGAAACTGTATGGACCTAATAGAAGCAGAAGATATTAAGGTGACAAGAATACACAGAAGAACTACATTAAAAAGATCTTAATGACCCAGATAATCACGATGGTGTGATCACTCATCTAGAGCCAGACATCCTGCAATGTGAAGTCAAGTGGGCCTTAGAAAGCATCACTATGAACAAAGCTAGTGGAGGTGATGGAATTCCAGTTGAGCTATTTCAAATCCTGAAAGATGATGCTGTGAAAGTGCTGCACTCAATATGCCAGCAAATTTGGAAAACTCAGCAGTGGCCACAGGACTGGAAAAGGTCA